ACACACACAAAAATTATGAGAATGGCTAATAAGTGCATAAAAAGATGTTCAACATCATTGCCATTAGAGAAATGCAAACCAAAACTGGAATGATATATCAATTTTCAGCCATTGGAAAGTCTATAATCAAAAGAAAGGACAATAATAAATGCTGGCAAGAATGTGAAAAAGAATGGGAACCTTTCTAAATTATTGAGGGGAATATAAAATAGTACAGTCACTTTGAAAACAGTTGGGCAGTTTCTCAAAATGTTAAACCTGGAGTTACTGTATGACCCAGCAATTCCATTCCTAGATATCCACTCAAAAGAAGTCAAAATATATGTACACAAGACTTTGTACACAAATGTTCATAGCAACATCATTTATAACTAGAGGCCCGGTGCACAAAATTCATGCACTGGGGGGGGGGGGCGGGCAGAGGGTATCCCTCAGCCCAGTCTGCACCCTCTCCAATCTGGGATCCCTCTCACAATCCAGCACTGCTGGCTCCCAACTGCTCGTCTGTCTGTCTGCCTGATTGCCCCTAACCACTTCTGCCTGCCAGCCTGATCACCCCCTAACCACTCCCCTGCCAGCTTGATCGATGCCTAATTGCTACCCTGCAGGCCTGGTTGCCCCCAACTGCCCTCCCCTGCTGGCCATCTTGTGGTGGCCATCTTGTGACCACATGGGAGGCGTCCATGTTGTGTGAGGGTATGATGGTTAATTTGCATATTACCCCTTTATTATATAGGATAGCCTAAAGCAAAAACAAAATGTGTATAAAATGAATGGGGAAACAAAATGTGGCACATTCATATAATGAATACTATTTAACAATAAAGGGAATGAACTTACCATATGTGCTATAACATGGATGAACCTCAAAAATAGTATGTTAATTGGATATAGCCAACCACCAAAGGCCACGTGTTGCATGTTTCCATTTTATGAAGTGTACAGAAAAAGCAAATCTATGGAGACAGGAAATAAATAAGTGGTTGCCCTGGGCTGGGTGTGAGACTGGGGATGAGCCAGTTCCAAAAATTGATTAAGATGATTGCTACATAATTCAGTAAACTTCTAAAAATTTATTGAATTGTAAACTTAAAACAGGTGAATTTTATGATTTGTAAATTATACAATTCAATAAAATTAATCAAAGAATTCAACAACTGAGGTTGAGGAGATGTTCCCCAGTTAGAGATACCTGTACTTGCCCTCCAGCTCTTACCACCCACAAAAGACAGGCCAGGAGCATGGCACCCTTCCAGGTTGATTCCCATTGAATGTACAGCTGCCCCAGTCCAGTAGTGCTTAGTTTAATGGGGTTACATAATTTTGGAATCACCACATTTCTGACGCATCATATGACATCTATGTTAAAAAAACCCTCACATAAACCAACAGTTAGATCAATATATGAGTAAAACTTCCCCCATGGCCAAGAATGGATAATCAATATGTCAGACCACATTTATTTCAAGTGAGGAAAATTAGAGTGACACAAAAGAAATGAATGATTATACTTGAGTATTAAAGCTTGTCTGCCTCAGGTTATTTTGATGATACTTCAAATATTTATGGAAACAAGGGAATCTTTTTTTTTTTTCCCCTCACACAGTTTAAATTTGAGTAGGGATGTTTCTGAGAGCATCCTAAGAAACACTGGTGCCATCTGGAAGTCCTACATTCTTTGTAAGAGCCCCAAGCATATACAAACTTTTGATGAGGTTCAAAATAAAATGTGCGAGACAGTCCAGGAACATACTAAAATGAATGTTCTATAGGTTTCCTTCGGGAAAAGAAAACATCTTATGTGTGTCATTATTCTCATTCTCTTTACTACAGCCACCCAGCCTCTGGTTGTTACTGTGAAAAACATGGAACTTAAAATACTATACTATGTTATTATTCAAATTCATGACCGTTTCAAAGCACTTTATTGTGAGTTCTAAGAAGAAGAGCTTGGTCATATTCATCTTTGTATCCCTAGCACTCGGCTAAAAATTTGGACACTGTAAGTGCTCAATATATATTTGATAAGTGATATCCAGGGTGACTTACTTATGTTCATTGTCAACATCTGTTCCTGGCCACAATAAATTAATCAACAACATTTATTTCTTCATTCATTTCTTCACTAATTAATTTAACAATATTTGCGGGCTGTATACTAATATAGTACTAGTGCTGAAATTTCAGCAGCAAAAAGATATAGTCCTTATATCTTAGAAGATCTAGAAGATGACAACACAGAAATAAAATACTCTGTGACAACCAGAGACAATATTAAAAGGCCTGTGGAAGCTTCTACCCTAATTTAGGGTGTGACTGTGGTAGGATCAAGCGTTGGCCTGGTTATTCTGTTAGTCAAATGAAGGAGAGAAAAGTGGATAGAGAGAATGAGGCTACACTGCAAGGTGGTTAAAAGGCTTGGGACGAATGTGGGCTTTAAAATCAGACAGACCAGGGTTTCCATCCTTACTTAGCCACTTACTAGCTCTGTGACCTTGTTGGCCAAGCTCTTTATTCCCTCTATTTATCTCACTGTGTTGTTGGCATAATTAGGCTAATGTAGCTGGTGTAGACACTGTCCCACAGTTAATACTCAAAAATTATAGTTCAAAAATAAGTGATATGGCTTCAAAGTGAAGATGTGAAGTTTTAATATGGTTTTACTATTTTATTTTATTTTATTTTTTTAGGATGGTTATAATATATATATATATCTTAGGGGCCCGGTGCACGAAATTCGTGCACTGGGGGGGGGGGCGTGTCCCTCAGCTCAGCCTGCCCCCTCTCACATACTGGGAGCCCTCAGGCGTTGACCCCCATCACCCTCCAATCAAAGGATCGGCCCCTTGCCCATGCCTGATGCCTCTGGCCCAGGCGTCAGGCCTGGGCAGGGGACCCCCAGACGCCTCCGATTGCTGGCTCTGCCCCTTGCCCAGGCCTGATGCCTCGGCCAGAGGCGTAGACCCCCATCACCCTCCGATCGCCTGATCGGCCCCTTGCCCAGGCCTGATGCCTCCACCAAAGGTGTCAGGCTTGGACAGGGGACCCCCATCTCCCCCCGATCACTGGCTCTGGCCCCCGCCCAGGCCTGAGGCCTCTGGCCCAGGAATCATGCCTGGGCAGGGGACCCCCATCTCCCTCTGATCGCTTACTCCACCCCCCGCCCAAGCCTGACGCCTCTGACCCAGGCTTCAGGCCTGGGCAAGGGGACCCTCATATCCCCCCAATCCCCGGCTCCGCCCCCCACCCAGGCCTGATGCCTCGGCCAGAGGAGTTGACCCTCATCACCCTCCGATCACCAATCACCGGATCGGCCCCTTGACCAGGCCTGAGGCCTCCGGCAGAGGTGTCCGGCCTGGGCAGGGGACCCCCAGCTCCCCGCGGTCTCCCGCTCTGCCCCTGCCCAGGCCTAACGCCTCTGGCCTAGGCGTCCGGCCCGGGCAGCGGGGACCCGCAGCTGCAGCGCCCCGCAATCGTGGGCTTCGCTTTAGGCCCAGGCAAGGGACCCCTAGCTCCTGGGACTGCCAGCTTCGACCGTGCCCAGCTCCCATCACTGGCTCCACCCCTACTTCCTGCTATCACTGGCCAGGGCTGCAAAGGCGCCTGATTCTCCGATCATGGCCCCAGGGCCGCCTTTGCCCTGCCCCCCAGCTCTTAGCTCCCCCCTGGGTTTCCGATCACTGTCAGTGGCAGGGGGCTTCTTCCTGCTTTCCCTTTCGCCTCCCTGCATTGTGCCTACATATGCAAATTAGCCGCCATCTTGTTGGCAGTTAACTGCCAATCTTAGTTGGCAGTTAACTGCCAATCTTAGTTGGCAGTTAACTGCCAATCTTAGTTGGCAGTTAACTGCCAATCTTAGTTGGCAGTTAACTGCCAATCTTAGTTGGCAGTTAATTTGCATATAGCCCTGATTAGCCAATGAAAAGGGTAGCGCCGTACGCCAATTATCATTTTTCTCTTTTATTAGTGTAGATTTTAAATATTTATTTTATTGATTTTTTACAGAGAGGAAGGGAGATGGATAGAGAGCCAGAAACATCAATCAGCTGCCTCCTGCACACCCCCTGCTGGGGATGTGCCCGCAACCAAGGTACATGCCCTTGACCAGAATCTGGGACCCTTCAGTCTGCAGGCCGATGCTCTATCCACTGAGCCAAACTGGTTAGGGCAATATTTTTTTAAAAAAAGCATTCATGAGAATGTTTAAAAATTGGACCCCTCGTACAATGCTGGTGGAAATGTAAAATAGCGGGCCATGTTGGAAAATGTTTTTGGCAGTTCCTCAATATGCTAAGCATAGAGTTACCAGATGACCCGGAAGTTCCACTTCTAGTTACATACCCAAAAGAAACGGAAACATGTTCACACAAAAAAACGTGTACACAATGTTCATAGCCGCGTTACTCATAAGAGCCTCAAACCGTAAACAACCCAAATACTCATCAACTGATGAATGGGTAAACAAAATGTGGTATACCCATACTAGAATATAGCATACATAAAACTTTAAAAATGTTATGCTAAATGAAAGAAGCCAGTCACAAAAGACCAGATATTATGACTGAAATGTCCCCCTGCCCATAGGCATATCCCTGTATCCCTGGAGGCATATTAGATAGAAGGGCTAGGGCTAGGGCGGGAGGACTGGGAGGCGACTGTTAATGGGTATGAGTTTCTTTCTTTAATATTTTGCAGAGAGGAAGGGAGAGGAACAGAAAGTCAGAAACATCAATCAGCTGCCTCCTGCACACCCCCTACTGGGGATTTGCCCGCAACCAAGGTACATGCCCTTAACTGGATTCGAACCTGGGACCCTTCAGTCCGCAGGCCAACGCTCTATCCACCGAGCCAAACCAATCAGGGCGGTATGGGTTTCTTTAGAGTCCTACAATTGGCTCCTCTCTGAGGGGGCGTGGCTAGGCCATGGGGGCGTGGCCGGACTCTAGGGCGGATTGAGCCAGTTTAAAGCCCGGGCTGTGGTGGCAGTTACAGGTGGAGACATGGAGGAGTGCGCTGGCCTCTGTGGCGCGGGCTCTTCGCAGGGACATGGGTGTCTTCAGAAGCGCCAGCGCCCAGCTGAGACGGCAGCGGCCGACGCCAAGCGGTGTCGTCAGGAGCGCCAGCGCCCAGCTGAGATGGCAGCGGCCCACAGCAAGCCGTCCCCGGCAGAAAAGCACGTCGAGGTGGACGAGGCAGCGCGGCGCTGTGCGCGGAGGGTAGGAATCGCGAGCCCCACGCCGCCCCCGCCCCCGCCGCCCCCGCCCTGCTCGCTGCCCGACCTGCCGGTGGAGATCCTGGTGGAGATCTTCGCCTCGCTCCCCGGCACCGACCTGCGCAGCCTGGCCCAGGCCTGCACCAGATTCCAGCACATCCTGCACACCGACAGCATCTGGAGTCGGCGCTGCCGCGAGGAGTTTGGCGTTCCTGAAAACCTGCAGAACCCGGAGATGACCGGTATGTCTTATCGAGAAGTCTATGCGAAGCTGTTCTCATACAGACACATTTTGGGGTTGTGGCAGCTAAATTACAGCGTGAGAATCCTGCTGAACGTCGTGGTGGACGGCTTATGCATTACTGCCTGGCCGTACAGGCCTCCCCTCAACACCCCTGTGCGGGGCCCAATGCCTATCAAGCCCTCGTTCCGAATCCGCCTGACGGAGCGGAACTCAGCCGCGCTGGAGTGCATGGCCGGCCTCCTCGGCAGGCCCCACAGCGGCCACATGCAGATCCAGGGGGACAGGCTCACCATCCAGTGCAAGAGGACCGACCACCGAACGGGTTCACCAACGCGGCTCAGGGGAGAACGGGGGCGCGGGCGGGGTCGGGTGCAGGAGGACGGACAGCGGTATGACTGCCTGACCTACCGCCGCCTCTACCTCCCGCCGCGCCGCGCGGACGACCTCATCAGGCCAGGCCTCTTCCACCGCAAATACAACGCCTTCGGCCCCACGACCCTCATGCTCAGCTTCCACGGGAAGTACGCCAGGGTCACCAGGCTCATGGGGATCGGCTCGAAGGCGCTAGAGATCCACCTCCTGCGCCGCATCCGGCTGCCAGAGGGCGAGTTCTTCCGCAACTTCGACGAGCTCTCCCGCGTGGTCCGGGAGATGGACGAGCAGGTGACCCGGGAGCAGCAGCAGCAGCAGCGAGAAGACGCGACTGAGGAAAGCCAGGGCCATGAATGGCAGAGCCCTGCCCAGCCCAGCGCCGGGGCGTCCGGGGCCGCAGCTTCGGAGGAGCAGCCTGTCCGGTTTGTGCTGCCTGTGGGCGTGCGCTCAAGTGACCAGAACTACCCCCGGACCTGCAGGATGTGTTTCTACGGCGTGGACATTGAGTCCTTCGCCCACCCCAGGCACTGCTGCCCCGGAGTCTTCATCCTGTTCGATGAGGACCACTTCGGGTTCATCTGGCTGGAGGAGAAATACTTCTTCTGGTTCGGCAGAGTCCGCGACACCTTCCCGAATGTGGAGGCGCCATCCCCGCAGGCCTTCCTGGAGATGCTCAAGGACATTGTCTAGTTTTATATTTTAATCTGAATAATTCTTTACTGGCAATTTTTTCAATAGTTTTTCTTCATTTAAAAATCTTAAGTGGTTTCCCATTGCTTATAAAATTAAAACAAAATCTTTTCTTTTTTTTAAATATATTTTTATTGATTTCAGAGAGGGAGAGAGAGGGATAGAGAGATAGATACATGAATTAGAGAGAGAATCATTGATTGCTGCCTCTTGCATGCCCCACACTGGGGATCGAGCCACAACCCAAGCATGTGCCCCTACTGGGAATTGAACCGTTATCTCTTGGTTCATAGGTCCACACTCAACCATGGAGCCACACTGGCTGGGCTGGGCTTTCTTTATCATTCTTTTTCTAGTACCTTTAAGTGTAAAGTTAGATTTTTTTTCATGTTTCTTCAGGTAGGCCTGTAATGCTATGAATTCCCCTCTTTGGACTGCTTTCATTGCATCCCATAGATTTGGGGTTGTTGTGCTCTCATTTGCATTAATTTCAAGATATTTTCTGATTTCATCATTGATGTCATTGTTAACCCATTCGTTGTTTAGCTTCTATGTATTTCTGTGTTTTTCAGTTTTTTCTTATGATTTCTAGTGCAATACCATTATGATCAGAGAAGGTGTTTGATATGATTTCAATCTTCCTGAATTTGTATAGACTTGTTTTGTGTCCTAACATGTGGTCTATCTTTGACATTGTTTCATGTGCACTTGAGAAGAATGTATATTCTGTCCTTTTGGGGTGAAATGTTCTGTAAATATCAGATCCATCTGATCTAGTGTATCATTTAAGGCTTCTGTTTCCTTGTTGATTTTTTTTGTCTGGAAGATCTATCCAGTGATGTCACTGGGGTGTGAAAGTCCCCTAATATGACTGTGTTACTGTTAATCTCTCCCTTAAATTCCATCAAGGGTTTTTTAAAAAAATTGGGTGCTCCTATATTGGGTGCACACATGTTTACAAGGGTTATATTTTCTTGTTAAATCATTCCCTTTAGTATTATGTAGAGGCCTTCTTTGTTTCTTTTTATGGTCTTTGTTTTGAAGTCTTTAACCTTTCTTTTATTGATCTGGAAAGCTGTTTATTTCACCTTCAATTTTAAATGATAGCCTCGCTGGATACAGTAATCTTAGATACAGCACTCTTGCTTTTCATTACTTTGAGTACCTCATGCGGTTCCCTTCTGGCCTGAAGTATTTCTATTGAGAAGTCAGCTGACGTTCTAATGGGAAAAACAAAATCTGTTCTAAACATCTGTATTGAAGTATAATTAACTTATATAAACTACTGTTGATTTATCTATTAAATCAGTTGCTGAACATTTGTGTGGTTTTCATTTTTTGGCTTTTATGAATAATGCTGCTATGAATATTTATGTACAAGTCCTGTGTGGACATATATGTTCATTTCACTTGAGTAGATACCTAGGAGTGGAACTGCTGGATCATGTGATAACTCCAGATTCAACATTTTAAAAAACTTCCCAACTAGTTTTCTATAGTACACATTCCCACCAACAATGCATGAGAGTTCTAATATCTACACACCCATGCTATCACTCGTTGTCTTTTTAATTTAAACATTTTTAAAGAAATATTTCAATGATTACAATAAGGCACTTCAAATGCATAAGTTTTGAAAATATGTAGAATTAGATAAAATGAAAAATATCATTTATTCAGGGCATGTCTTTGCAATTTTTCTTTTAAATAGCTGATTTTTTTTTTTACCTGATTGTGATAATAATGAATGTTCAATTTTGGTCAAATATGAATTTATAGGAAGTATGAGTATGATCAAAGAAATCTACACTAATAAAAGAGAAAAATGGTAATTGGCATATGAGGATACCCTTTTCATTGGCTAATCAGGGCTATATGCAAATTAACTACCAACTAAGATTGGCAGTTAACTGCCAACTAAGATTGGCAGTTAACTGCCAACTAAGATTGGCAGTTAACTGCCAACTAAGATTGGCAGTTAACTGCCAACTAAGATTGGCAGTTAACTGCCAACTAAGATTGGCAGTTAACTGCCAACTAAGATTGGCAGTTAACTGCCAACTAAGATTGGCAGTTAACTGCCAACTAAGATTGGCAGTTAACTGCCAACAAGATGGCGGCTAATTTGCATATGTAGGCACAATGCAGGGAGGCGAAAGGGAAAGCAGGAAGAAGCCCCCTGCCACTGACAGTGATCGGAAACTAGGGGGGAGCTAAGAGCTGGGGGGCAGGGCAAAGGCGGCCCCAGGGCCGCCTTTGCCCTGCCCCCCAGCCATGATCGGAGAATCAGGAGCCTTTGCAGCCCTGGCCAGTGATAGCAGGAAGTAGGGGTGGAGCCAGCGATCGTCGAAGCTGGCAGTCCCAAGAGCTAGGGGTCCCTTGCCTGGGCCTAAAGCGGAGCCCAGGATCGCGGGGCCGCTGCAGCTGTGGGTCCCCGCTGCCCGGGCCTGACGCCTGGGCCAGAGGCGTCAGGCCTGGGCAAGGGGCCAATCCTTCGATTGGAGGGTGATGGGGATCAACGCCTGAGGGCTCCCAGTATGTGAGAGGGGGCAGGCTGGGCTGAGGGACACTGCCCCCCGCCCCACACCCAGTGCACGAATTTCGTGCACCGGGCCCCTAGTTTATCTATAATAGCAAATATTATTTACTAGAAATTGTGTAAATTCCTTTATTAAATTATCCCACTTAATTCTCAAAGCAGCACTCTGAGGGAGGAAACATTATTTTCGTCATTTAATAGATGATAGCAACAGAAGTTTCAGAAGTTAGGTAATTTCTCTAGGTTAATATTGAAGTAAATAATGGAGCCAGACCTCAAACTCAGGTATGGAACTCTCCAAGGCCTCTGCTATCTACAATAAACTCATGCTGGTTATGGAACTTATGTGGGCATAAAGGGTAGGTGGAATTTAGTTCATAGGGAAGGATATTTTGGTTGGGAAAGAATTTATTATATAACCTGACTTGCAATAGAGTCAACTATAGAATATTTGACAGTCATTGAAAGACCACTCTAATTAGAGTTAAGTGAGGAAGACAGAGTTGGACAGGTTGAATTATATGTGGTCTTAAATGTAGGGCAGAGGAGGTAAACTATTTCTTAGAGGCAATAACAATTCATTGAGTAGTGTTTGTGATGAAGAGGTGGTATCTTGTGATGGATTAGGGGAGGGAGTGATTAGATAAGGAGGGAGAGGAAGGATATTGTTGAAAAGCTTTTGTATAAAGTGATGAGGAGTGAGACTATGGGATAGCTGAGGATGAGAATGGACTTAAAGAGTATATTGAACAGGCATTGAGGGATGGAAAGAGCAGAAAGGAACTTTCCTCTTCCTCTTCTACTCCCTCCCACCCCCCAAAGGCTGGTAGTAAAAATAAATTAAACCTGGGAAATAAGTAAGTTCCTTTGTTCTCTAAAATTCTCTACTGGATTACAAATACTAATTTTTCAAGGTATTTCTGATAGTTTCACGTATTTTAAATGTACCTTGGCATCTAATTCAATGTTGTCGAAGAATGTCAGTAACTAATGATTTTCTGTATGAAGGACTTAAAACCTAGTATTTGCTCCCATCCCCCTGTTGTCCATGTCCATTGGTATGGCTTATATACATGTATACAAGTCCTTCGGGAGCATGAGTGTGTGTGTGGGGGAGGTTGGGGGTTAATGGGGGGGATGAGGACACATTTGTAATACCTTAACTAATAAAAAAAAAAAAAAAAAAAAAAAAAAAAAAAAAAAAACCTAGTATTTGGAAAATGAAACTAATTCACAATAATCTATATGATGTTAAACTATAATATGTGTGTTCTTTCTAGGGTGTAAGTCACCTGATGGCCCTAAATAGAATTAGGAAGAAAGAAACAATTGTTTCCAGATTTCTAAGGATCTGCAGCAATTATACTCCTGATGTGATTATGGTCATAGCAGATTTGATGCCATTGAAATTAGCTAGTTATTAATAATAGGAAAGGAGCAAAGGAGGAAACCAGACATTTTAGGCATGTCATTTGGGCAGCTTCACCAGGAAGGTGCAACTTTATACTCCCCAGGGAACCACAAGTCCATTCCCTGGAAAACCCCGAGGGAAAGGGCTGGACAAACGGGAAGGATGGAGACATGTGCAGTGAAGTTGGGGTGACATAGAAAAGGTACTTGCTGTCAATCAAACCTGGGAACAAAGATCATTGGCCAGAGGAGGTGAGGCCACAGCAAGCCCGCAAAAATTTGGGGATATGTAATCTGCAGACAAAGGAATTCTCTTAACTCTTGGCTCTTTTGACTCTCTGGTTCCATTGGTTTTGCTCCTGTTTTCTTGCATTCGCCCGTGTTCCCATTATAGCCACACGCAATGGACTAATGTCTGCAGCTGGGAACACAAGCTAAGGTAGCCTGGTGCTGGATTAGACTGTGCAGACATTGAATGGAAACTCTGGGCAATGGTTTTAATCCTAGCTCTGCTGAAGCCATACCTACACTTCTTCAATGATGGGACAAAGGGAAATGGGAGCTTGGAAACTCGGGGAATTAATTCCATGCAAATAAAAATCACTGGTTCTCCTATGGGAGTCTCAGAAAATTATTTTTTGTGTGTTATCGCAAGAAGCCCACTCCCACCAGCAACCAGTGGGGATGAGGAGCACACCCTACAGATAACAGCTCCAAAGGCAAATGTTTTTTTCCTTAGGTTTTTTTTTTTTATTTATGGCAAGGAAGTAAATTTTAAAAAATAAGGAAGTCCATACTTTATTATAAAATATAAATGAGACTCTTAACTTTACATAGCTAACATTTATTGAGACCCAGTATCATGTAGTTAGAAAATAGTCATAGTAGTAATACTAATAATACAACTGCCATTGATTGAGCACTTACAATGTAAATAGTACTATGACAGAAGCTTCAAAAACATTTGCTGATACCTATTTATAATATGACCTAGGAAGTAGGAATTATTTTCTGTATTTTTACAAGATACAAAACTTAAGCTCAGTGAGTC